CAAATAGATATAAGATGGATTCGCTATTCTCAACACGCGACAGTACTCCCAATTTACAAAAACGATGAATAAATAATCGACTGTGAATAAAAGTGTACGAGCATGATTTTACTCGAAATTCAGAAGACTTTTGAAAATTTGTTGTATATTTAATAAATTGGTTAGTAAGAGATTTTTTAATTTTGTTTTTGAAAATGTTTTAATAGGGGGTTTGGTGAAAGAATGATTTCTATGATACTATAGTGGGTGTTTCGGAAAGACGTTCCGATATTTCTAGGGTATGAAGTACATCTCCAAAAAAACAAAGAAGTTCCTATAAATATGGGTCCAAAGATACTGCCCTAACGAGATACAGGGTGATGAAGTTTTATTGACGAAATAAAAAAAATATCTACGGCGCGGGTAAAGTTACCGAGTTAGGATTTTAGATGTTCAGTGAGCACATTATCAGCAATTAGCACACAGAGTTCCTGGGCTCAAACTAAACCAGGGACGTGGAAACTGGGGTACCTGAACACTTAATAGGAAATATTTTCTACGCCACTGTCTTTTCGGAGAAAAAAGACACTCATATTATTCAAATAATGTTATAACGAGGTGCCATATATTTATTCACACGCCATAGTGTTTCCAATATCAAGCTTCAGAATATTATAGGATTGCACCACAAATATTGAAACCTAAATATCTGCAAAACGAGTGATTTGACAAAAATTCCTTAAAAGATAAAACTTATGGAAAATTCAAAATATTTCCTCCTTGTGGTCCAGGTAAATAAAACTTCATCACCCTGTATCTCGGTAGGGGAGCATCTTTGGACCCATATCTATAGGAACTTTTTTTGTTATTTTTGAATATGCGTTCTACCATAGAAATATTGGCCCGTCTTTCTGAAACACCCTGTATATTTGTTATTCCTCTGAGATACTTATATGGTTAAAATATTATAGCCGCCACTATTAGCTTCAGCAATGTTTTTTTCCAGAAATAATTAGTTATATCAAGCAGATGTTTGTAAAAAGTGGAACGACAGTAATTTCGAGATTTTGTGAGTATTACCCATGTAAAACGAACGCTACAGAAGTCTGCCCATTGCCTGCCACGAAGGTTGCATTTGGTATAGCAAGAAGCAGGTTTCACGTAGACGTGACCTTACTTGCTTATATGTATACTGTATACTTGTTCCAACTGACGCTGTCGAACGTGCATGTATGTTTATGTAAGTGTCGTAAAGTTTTCGGCCATGAAACTCGATTAACTACTCGTGCGCGACGCGGGGAAATTCCAACTTTTAAATTGCCGACTGTAACTTGGGCAACTTCGTTATGAACTTCAATGCAGCTCCATACAGCCTGCTCCGGGACCGGGACGCAGGTTTTTCTCTCGGCTTTCGGAAGCGTCTTTATAGCTTTCTAACGCAAAAGAACCGGGAGGAAATTCTTTTGAACGAAACGGCGCAAATGATTTAGATTTTTCTTTATTGTACAAGGTTATATTCGACGTTATTAGCTGCAGTTTTGTGAATGACGTATTTTGCATGAAAGCGTTTGGAGAAATCTTACGGTATTAACTCAATAAATTGACTGTAATGGTTAACTGTATATTAATATTCGTGTAAATTATCAGCCAAATTATCAAAAGAGATATACATTTGTTGGTAATGGGCATCATTAGCGCCTCATATAATGTTTCTGAGTATCAACATTGCGGAACACATTGGGCGCATTTGGAAATGTCAGTGCTGAATGAATGAATTATGCACCCCTGTATTCCGTAAACCTCAAGCCCGACCCTTCTAGCATAGTTGAGAATAGCCTTGAGTCCCAGCCCCTTATCTTTCTGGGGATCCATAGTGATGGACCCCAGTATAGTGTCTGCATTTAGTAGCTCAGAGTCTTTTAGCGACGCAGAACATCCGCTGAGGTATCTTGCTCTACCCCGCAGCGCTCACACAAGGGATCCTCAGCCACCCCAATCAAATGCATATGGCGCCACAACGTGATATGGCCAAACAACAGTCCTACTAGCAACCTTAGGTTGGTGCTATCCAAAGGTAAATAAAAGCGTCCATACTTAGCATTGGGCTTTAGGATGAACTCCCTTGCTAGACGGATGTACCTAGATATGCTTCTCCATTTCTGAGAGTATTGTCTTACTATCCACTTTTCCATTTCCTCCCCTAAGACTGGTTCAGGACCGACGAGCTTGCTCGCAGGTCCTGCTTTCGCACCATATCATTGCCATTTATTCCAGCGTGCCCCGGTACCCACACTAACGATACCGGATACCTCGCTGCTAGACTATTCAGAGCCTCCCTTCATTGCAATTCAAGGCTTGAAGTAATCTTGCAGGCACTTGTGCCTATACTGCGGCCTCGCTGTCGGAGAAGGTTGTTATTTTTCTCCTAGCTCCTTCCCCCTCGCAAGCCAGAATCGTAAATATTTTGACCTGGAAAATAGTGGTGTATCCAGCGAGAGGCAGAGATAGCCTAGTTCTAGGCCCAAAGACTCTGGCGCCAGTGCAATCTTCAATGACCAAGCCGTCCGTGTACTAGACCTGCTCACTCCCTTCGGAAACACTCTAGTTTCCGCCCTCGTTGAATACTCCACATTAAACTTGCCGATGCAGCGATATTTATTGGTGATCAGATTACCCCTGCTCAGAAGGACAGGGTCCTTCCTCCCTTTGCAGTGGTACAACAGCGTTGCAGTGTGTTATTTCTTAAGTGCGCTCGCTGGAAGGTAAGTCATTGGATAAATGGATTTATCTTGCACAAAAGTCAGAAGGCATCAACGAGTGATTTTCAAATGACCTTGACCTTGTTCCACTTTTGATGCAAATGATAGAAAGAAACATTTTAGATCGTGCTACTCTGAAAAAGGAGCCTCGGTTGCTCGGTAGTCGTCTCATCGCTGGAGCTGGTTTATTATATCAGTTACCAGTAGACGGCTCGTGGAGTAGTACAGTGTTGGTACTACGGTGTCGGCAAAAAGGGTCAAAGGTGGCCTAGTTGCCAGGTTTTGCTTCCCAACCACCACTGCTGTTACTCTGAAAAAGTTGAATAGAAGAGCTGCTCTCTTGTCTGGTCGAATCTTGAATCTAGCATCGTCCTGGAAAGTTACTTGTAATGTTCTTTCTGCCAACTTGTTTAGATAATGTGATCCTATCCTACAAATATCGTTTATAGCCTTATGCGAAGCTAGCACTATAATCGTTTTAAAATCCTACTAAATTTATATATGAAAAAATATACAACCCATGGTTATGTTTAAGGTGAATTATTTTACTTAAAATTTGATTTACCATGATAGCTATATAACCTACTAAAGCTTATAAAATATAGGATTCTGGACGAATTATAGCTGAAATAAGATTGGGTTTAACTGCTGACAGGGATACAATTTAGTAAATTTTAATGAGAGGCACATACCAATCTGATTCATATTCTAGATCACACTCCAAAATCTGTAAGCTACTTAAACCCTCACTTGGACTGTAGTCATATCGACAAGTGTACATAGCCTAGCTTTGGGCCCACACACTTTTAATTTTATATTCTAAATCTTATTGAATTCAGAAGTTTCAGAACTATCGATGCTATTGATACGTTTTACCATCAGGTTTTTGCGGGGTCCTTTGTTAGTCTTCGAGTATCTGTCTTTGATATGAGGATGGATAATTACGAATGCACGGTAATTACGGTGATCCCAAGGTTTCACATTGAACCGCTCTTCTTCCAGTACACTCTATTTACTACTAATCTCCTAGAACGAGTACGCTGTAACAACACATTCTATCCAACGAACGTATAATTACTCCCGTTTTCCCAAAGTATCCAGACAAAACGAGAACCTTCCCATCTCAAAAGCTCATTGGAGATTCTAAATATTCATGGTTATTACAGTGACATAGTCGACTGTCCCGGTGTAATCTGCCCTCACGGTTCTGGATAGGTCACTTTCCCAAGATTAGCTTGCCTTTCCTGAAAACGGCCGGCTTTCACGAAATACCGCGAAATCGCTCAGAGTCCATGCATGCCCGGGATGCTCCCTCAGTGATTATCTAATCCATTTCAGAGGAATTATCCAGCTTGAGTTCGGTTTAATTCACCAAAATAATTTCACCCGAAAATGATTCTGTTCAAGGTATCTGATAATAATTTGAGCACTCAATAGACTTCTATTCATACGACTTTGTACATGAAAGGAGAGTGCACATATAGTGCTTTTCAGAAAGTTCCCCCTCTTCTCATTCTTTGAACGCGTCTAGTCTCCAGTTATTGAGCTGAAATTCGAGATGATAACATTGACGCATGAACATCATACTTTAACGTGAAACTAACAATTGAAACTTTCGAGATGGCGACTGGGATTTTTTAAAAGAAAGGGTGGTCGTGTGATACCTTATCTTCAAGCCCCTTATGTGTTCTATGAACCTCGAATATGAAATCACAATTTTTCAGAATGGCATCAAAACGTTTTAGTTATATCAGGCTTCGTCTTTTAATGTAATGTTCCATATTTTAATACATGTTTGGATAGATCCTTCCAAGAGAAGATTGATGTAACACACTATGACTTTATAAGCTAGGGATATGAAGTAATCATGGGAAACTCCAAAACGAACCCATTATTTCATTAGAAAAAATTCCAAATTAGCGGGCAGCAGCCGTCATGAAATTTTAAAGCGACACTTTTATGCTAAAACAAGTCTTCATGCAACAATTTCATCATCCAGAATTTCATATTTTTGACTTGACTGGTTCAAATAGCAAGTAGGCGGAGGCAATTTGCAAAGCACTTCGTACAGGAAGGTAAAAAGAGGAATGGCAAAGATATTTTAGTAAATATGATATTTTTAGAAAATTCCATACATCGCGAAAAGCTTCATCAAACTGCCAGATAGCGGTAAACGTCGAATTGATACCTCACTCAATTAGTGTTAAATCTAGTGTGTTAGAACTTTATTGTCCTTGTAAGCATCTTCCTAACAACGTTTACACCAAAGCGTTAAAATGAGTGGGATATCAGGTTTTGAAAAAATCTGCGATATCAAATGAGGCCTCCAGCAAATGATTAGGTGAAAAGATACGATGGACGTAAATCCGTCTTGTAGGTAGATTGAGCTGTTTACAGTGAATGTCCGATGTTGCTGAGGTTTTACGAGTTTATTTAGATTGTCTCCTGGGCGCTTCCATCCTGTGCTGCATTCCAGAGCGATACTTAAATTTTCCTATGAAATGAACTGGGCTGCGTTTTCAAATTCTTACAGAGTGTACTTTGTAGTATTCTGAAAGAGATTAAGAGTTCGTAAATGTTTGACGTACCTGTTCCATGCGTTCGGAGTAGAACAAAGTAAAACTTCTGCAACGCCAAAAGTCACTTTTCGTCCCGTGGTCAAAACCTTAATATACGAATGTTGTCACTTGTCATTATCATGGCTCATCGACTGTTCACCTGATTTGTTTATCAAAAACTGCTCAAATTGGCAGAATTAGGCGGCTGTCATCAAGTTTGAATAGATGACTCTCTAATAATTTAGGTAGAGTTGCGCTGTATTCCAGGGTAAAATTTCAGTCAAACTACATTCCATTACTGTGTACAGTATTACATTACCAAGTGATTTACAAACGAACCCCAGTGAGTGCTTCAGTTTTCTTGTTGCTTTTCCGTGGCGACTACACATAGGGTAACAAAAATCTATTTTAATGGCAACATTGATATGTTACTAGTGCATGTTTAAAAAAATTATTAATATATATGCAGGGTGTTCCGAAACTTCGAGCCACAGCAAACGTATATCTTTTTTAGCGAAAGAATACCCCATATTGTATTGAATATTTGAATGGAGCTTCTAAAAACAAAAAGTTTGATATCATAGAATGTATGGCTTAGAGTTAGAGTATCCGGTATCTCAAAAATGCACCTTTTCTCAAACATTTCAAATGTTCTACCCTGTATATTTCTAGATCTTCTAGACTAGATCGTTAAATAGTTATTTTGGCGATTTTTAATATAACAATAGCTTTTATTAACACAACAAAAAATTATCTCAGCCTAAGGCAATCAATATTTAATAAATTGTGAACTCGCTTATACAATGTTTCATGTCCTCAGGTGTTGTAGGTTTCTCCTGGTGAACCTTTTCTTTTAGATTGCCCCAGAAAAAGTTGAGAGGCGTCAGATTGGAGAATCTTGCTAACCAGTTTTCCTATCTAACTATTAGGGCATCAGCGGTCTAGATACGGTTCTGAGATCCGCAAGGTTTTACTAATCGTCAGTGGTATATGGTCCCCCGAGTAATACACAATAAGGAATCTTGTTGACCAAGTTGCTAAACGAACGTGGTTGTGAAAAAATTCTGGACCTGAGTCCAAACATCTGGGAATTATGTTTTCATGGAAGATCTGATTTTAAGTTTAAATGCGAAATGTATGTTTTTTATTCGAATCAATAGAAATAACCCGAAAACTGTTCGAAAAAAGTGATACTAACCTAAGATATATCAAAAAATAAGATTCTCAAAGCTCAAAGCTGTTTAATGATGTAGAAATATACAGGGTGTTCTATTTGACATTCAGGTAAAAAGATACATCTTGTGTTTTGAGATACCCTGTGTTTGTTAACTAAAATCTATCGGAATATTTTGGAAAACGGCGGACCTGCGAGCCATCAAAGTTGGGCATTTTTTCAGACATTTCACTGAATATCTAAACAATTGACAATCGAGACCATATGTTATATGATATTAAACTTCTTGATTTTAGAAGCTCTATCTAATTATGCAATAAGATATAGGGTTACTCTATTTAAAAAAAGTTTGCTATGCCATGCGGTTATGGAACACCCTGTGTTTATTAAAATAATTTCAAAATATGCACTCGTAACACATCAAGATTGCCACGAAATCACGTTTTGGATAACTTTTCCAGTTCGTTCACAGAACTACTTTGCATTTTGTTGTTTTGTATATACTGAAGAGCAAGTACCAAGATCTTTCAGGGTAAATTAGTTTATTTATATTACTTACCAGCTTTGACATGTACTTCTCTGCTGACCACAACGCCGATATTGTTTCTCAACCGACACCGATAGGTGGCAGAGTGAACGTCGTGCCGATACCTCTCGCTGGAAAAAGGAGGAAATACCATCGATCCATTGGGAAACAGCAATCTCAGTTCTGGGATCTGGAAAAGAAGACCACATCAATTATTTGTTCGTCTACGCTTTGGTTCTTGATAATATGGAAACAAACATGAAGTTATTTTTATTACGTCAGTTTTTAACTGAGAATCCTTTTGTAATGAAGTCAGAGAAGAATGACTGCAAATTGTATCATAAACTAAAACATGAATATTTTTCCATTTTTTAACTTAGTCACTGTAAGCATTTAAACGTGGATCAAGTTATGGCACCAGCTTTTGGATTACACAGTTAAACTATTTAGTAACTGTTCCTGTCAATATGACGCCATTATCCAAGCGCTTTACACCAAGAAATTCCTTGACTTTTGGAAAAAGATGCTAGTCTAATAGATGGTGGATGGTCCAGTAATTCCCAATGAAAACATAACCAGTTGTGTCTGTGTTTTCCCTGCAACATGAGGCTGAGCATTGTCGTGAGCGACGCTTCTAGAGAGCAGACTCCGCCGGAGGTTTTGAATAACAGATTAGCCCCTCTATAAAACAAGCTGGCGAATTTCAGCAGGAGAAGAAACTTTTTTTGCGTTTCAAAACCGAATTACTGAGCGCGCTTTACAATAGGCGGGCTTACTAATTGACATGGCGACAACCAACACGGACAGATACGTGAAACGTAATGGCGGCGTAGTGAGAGGCTGGTCAAGAGTGTCTGAGGTTAAACAAATGTCATGTGACACGATACACGGGCACATTTCGCAATCGGTGTTTGATTAGAAAATTGTCGTTGTACTTTTAAAATTATACAAAAAGCTCGTTCAGTGCCCAGTAAGCTTCGTAAGGACTTGGGTATCGGACAGGCCACTGACGAAAACAAAGAGTTAAATAACGCGAGGAGGTGGTCAAGAAAGTCTTCTATTCTAGAGGAAGGAGTCACGAAGCAATCTAAGGAGATCCATGGTTTCGAAGCGATTTAGGCAGCTCCGTGGCTATCCCAAGGAGACCGTGTTGAAAGTTAATTTGAAATCTAATGATTTTTACACCCTGTGTTTAGTAGTCTAGGCAGTGTCAAACCTTGTCACGTATGAAATGTAACATTTTCTTCCAACGTATATATTTTTCAATAGTTTTACTATAAACCTCTAGTTGTCTTCATCCGTGAATACCGTTAACGTGGCATATACCCCCTTCACTGCCAAAAGGTTATGCGCCCAGCTTTTTATTCATCAGTGTACATGTTGACAGATTCGATTCCTCCGATAGAAAAGTTGAAATGTCGGGAGAATTTTGACACATGGAAATTCGCATATGGGGTTGTGTAGATGGAACCGCAACAGACTCCAAGAAGGTAGTTAGAGCAAAAGGCAAGATTATTTTGCTCGTAGAACCTGTTAATTATGTGCATGTCCAGTCAGCTACAACGGTCGATGAATTATGGGATAACCTTGACCACGCATTTGAGGGCCATGGGCTGACTCCTGAGGACGTTAATCACAACCTAACAAAGGCAGTGTAAAGGAAGAAGCATCAGTTTTGTGTTAGAAGTCAGCGCCTGCAAGATTTCAAACAGCGGGGATGTTAAAAGTTAATCTGAAGTCTAATGAACTCTTCATCCTATGTTTGGTAGTCTACTCAGCGTCAAACCTTGTCAAGTATTGAGTGTAATGTTTTCTTACAACGTATATATTTTCCAATAGGGCTTTACTAGAGACCTCTAGTTGTCTTCATCCGTAAATACCACTAACGTGGTCTTAGACCCCTTCCTTGTCAACAGACCGGAGGAAATACAATTCTACCGATTGTTCAGAAAACCTCATGGTTTTATCTGGATACAAAGGAGGTCCGGCAGGGGTATTACGTATCTTGAAAATTGACGTTATATTGATTTTTTTTTGACATTATACTGATTTTTTTGACATTATGTGTAGGTTTTTCTACAAGATTTTAACTTAGCAGTTAGTTGTGCGTGTTGCCTAAACGTCATGAGGTTCCAGTTATCAATGTTTGGCTCTGATGTAATGTAAAATCTGCGTCACAGATGGCATTTCTGCAGGTCTAAGCTGTAAGTTGTATGTGTTGATGATAATTCCATTGGATTCTTGTCTCATACACTTAATTGAGATTCAAAGCTAGACTTTTTCTTATCCATTCTGGAAATTACATATACAAATTTGCTGGATTTCAAAAATGGGAGATATTAGCAATTATTATATTTACTGTACACTGTCGGATTACAAGCCATATAGATGCTAACAGTAATTACACACAACGCGGGCGCGGTGTTGATTTCCCGTAATTCTTCTCAGTTTTGCGTAATTTATAACTTTGAACATATCCTGTCTTCAGAAAGGACAACATATAAATAATCCGTCGGACACGGCTAATAGATATACTTCATTGGCAGCATATTCAGTAATGATTTTCCCACACAGCAAATATCACTGATTTTATACACATTCAACCAACTTTCTTCTCAGAGATAAAAACTACAGATACAGACGACCCGGCTTCACAAAACATATGCAACCAACAATGCCTGTATTTTAGTTTAGCGATTCCTCCATAGTTGGACGTTCACAACGATAATAGTGAGCAAACGTGAAATGACTGTTTGTGCCCTAAAAGCTACCTAGTCTGCAACATGACATCTTATAGGTTTTTGACGTTTTATGGGTTTTTTACACAATACCCGTGCGAGATTTATGACAATCTGTGTTTCTGTTTGATAAGCTGCAGATGAGCACGAAACAGCGCAATCTGCGGTTGGTTGTGGTTGCAGAGACTGAAACTAACATGTTCATTCCCGCTGTGCCTATTTATGCATATATGCATAGAAATCCATTGCTAGTTTGCCATCTGAATACTGACAGTCGACTGTGGTAGTGGTCCGGTGCGACATCTTTATGCATAGCACAGAAAATCAATCGGTTATGTGCGAGAGACGAAAGGATCTCTGTCGTCTCCATATCGTATGGGATGATGATGAAAATCAGCCTGGCAAAGCATTGGTAGGTGGCGATAGTTAGATTTTCATCTACTTGCTGACAATGTTTTGAGTTATTCAAAAGACCATACCCACTTGTTTGCTTTCCATTTCGTCTGTTTCCAATACTAGACCTAAACCATACTGATTAGTTGCTAATGAGCACGAAACAGCGGTGTATGCAGTTGATCACAGAAACGGAAAGCAAACATGTCCTTTTCAATCAAATCTGCAGATCTAAGGATTTCCAAAGGGATTTAAAGAAAGCTTAATGGAAGTGATCGTTTGTTCCAAAATTATCAGCTCTTAGATAGCAGGAAATTATGAAATCCTTCCATACAGTGTCTCGGTTATGGAAAATCAGAGCACTTGAGACGTGCCTGTGATATGACATTAGGACACGGCAGTGACCACATGGTGTGAGCAACAGCATTGGTTAACGTAATATACCTGAAACTACAAATATTCCCACGTAAAAACCACCACATTAAATGATATACTGTAGCGTCATCTATGAGAATTTGTCGCACTAACTAGAAATCTTTGTGAAGAGGTTAGTGTCCCATAGATGGCGCAGTAGCCAACTTCATGTTATATACTAGTATAGTTGGCTAGACATTAACCTTTGTAAAGTAGATTTCAAATTAGTGGGGAAGAGGATAAACATTGCTGTGACAAATTCGCATAAATGACGCTGCGGTATCTTCTTTAATTTCAGATAATTTTTTAAACAGTAATTTCTAGTAGTACTTCAAGTTTACATTAATAATCTTGCTTAGCTAAGGCTGGTTCGCTGGTTGTATTCTAAGTTGTCTACTGTTTTTTTATTAAGAATCTGTCAATCAAGTCACAATCAATGAAACGCTTACTGTGCCGGTTTGTGAGTTTCTTGAGTAAACTTGTTCCAACTTAATCGTTTATTATCAAGTATGACTAATACTTTGTTCTTAAGTTTGCAAAATGGAAGCCGTAAGGCAGCCTTTTGCAGGCCTTTGAACATGCTAGTTCAACATTTCCATTATTGCAAAAACGTTCGTTAAAATCTTTTGGTGGCGATCAAAACCAAACATCGATCGAAATCGGAATTGGAGAATGTCAACGACCGAGGCGAGCTTGTGACCGTTCTATATTTTGCGCGATGAATTTTGCTGTTTTTTCAACCAAGGGAGGGTCGAAGTACGGAATTGCAAGGTAAACGGGCAATTTGGTAAATTCGTAGTCCGCCTCGTTCAGCATCATACTCTTGAAAAAAATACGCGTTTAAACGTGTGACGCGCTTTTAATTCATACATCATTATGGAGAAGTGGACGACATACCGTTAAGCAAGGCGGGAAAAATAAAAAGAGGGACCATTCAGGTTTCAAGTTTTCTAAACGAAACAATTTAGTCATTTAACATGTCTTGGTACTTCAATTTAAGTATGCAGACCCACCATAATTCACAGCAAAAAAACTGCCTAAGTATTTCCAAATAATTCAAAGAAATCTGGAAATAGGGATAGTTTGTTCTAGAAGCGAAAAGATCCTTGAATTCATGTCGAAGACAGAATGGTCGTGCGACAAGTTCTTACAAAAATATTACAGAATGATTCTCAACGGAGCTGCAGGCTGTCACTCAGCGGCTCTGGAACACAATTCGAGTATGTTTTAACTCATACTCAACGATATGTTTTGTATGATGGCAATCATAAAAAATAACTGAAAGGTCAAACTAGTTAGTGTAATATTGTACATGTTTTCAGCAGCTTATATAATAAAGTGTCAAAATATATTTGGATAGACGTATCTTTCTGCTGAAAAATATGTACTTTAACATTGGAGAGGAGAGGAGAACATTGAGTGCGTTCAGTTACTATAAAGCTGTCCAGCGCTGCAGCACCTTCATTCTGAATAGCATCAGCTGTGAAATAACTTTGACAGTTCGTAACATTTATTTAATAAACTGTTAAATCTCACAGCCAAGAGAAAAGGGCTTCCAAAGTCACAAAGCTATCCTATAGCTTACAAACGCTGTACCGCTGGACCGCTTTAGGCATGTTAAATATACAGTGCTGGGCGAAGTCGT